TGACGTCAAATTATACTTCTAGCCTTTAAATTAACACCAACACGGCAAAAGATCAAAAAAAAGGACCATTTGTGGAAAGGTACCCTTAAAAAAAGGACTACGGGGGTATATTTGATAATAGAGGACTAAAGATGGAAACCCCCATGTTATAAAGGACCAATTATGGAATTTACTCTTCATTTTTTTAGTTGAATCCCTTTTTTTTTGCACTATTTTAATCTCTCATATTTTTTATCCACGCCAGATATCTCGATACAATTTGGTTTACCCAAGCATTTGTTAATTTTATTTCAGTTTTTTTATAAATGCTACTATTTTTGTACAATTATGGTATTTGATTGAAATTATATTGTCTGGATATAATAATAATATTTGATTGAATTTATTTTCAATGCATTTTATTACAGAATTGAGACGGAATTAAAAAACAAAGTTTATATACTAAAAAACTATATCAAAAGCACTACGAAACAAGAGGTGAGATGAGTATATTATTTTATCAAATGAATAAAAAAATAAGAAACAAATGAATAAAATTTAATTCTGCAAATAATAAACATATAACTTAATTTGTGACCGATGGAGTACAAATAACTCAAAAACTGAGATTTCACCCAAACTTATCATATCATTAGCGTTCCCGAAAATTGAATATTGTTACAAAATATTAAATTTCCCATTGCGATAGTGATAATTATATAATTTTAGAGTATTCGTATATGGTATACCATCCCATATTTCAGAGAGTATTAGCATTATTTTTTCACTTTTGAAATAAGAAAATGTAGTATATACTATCTTTGTCTCAGAGTATATGTCCACCTTTGACCTTTTGCAATCAAAATTGATAAATTTCGATCATAAATTAAGTAAAATTTATATTACTAGATATTGATATAAAAATAATTTATTAGATTTATCTTATAAAATCTTTTCAAAATATTATTTTATGTAATTAATATATCATATAATTTTTTAATTATAGATCACTTTTTGATTATGGTTGACTGTAGGGGTGAGCATGGTACGGTATGGTACGGTATTTAGCCCGTACCGATACCATACCATACCAAATATTTTGGTTCGGTATGGGATTTTACTCCGTACCGATCCCGATCCCGAAATATTGGTTCGGTATGATTCAGAATGGTTCGGTGTCGGTTTCGGTATAAATCGGGATGAAGATACATACATACTTTACATGTTAAAATTTAACAATACCCTTTTATTTTTGAAAATTAAAAGTGAATTTAAATAAAAACATGAAAAATTAGAAAAATGAATATTTAAATGCAAGAGATGCGTATCAAAAACTTAGTTTATATTTCACAAACTAAAAAATGAATGACAACAAAGGAGTATTTTGAATCTTTGTGAATACTTGTATGCTCGTACAAAATAATTAAAACTCAAATAAAAGTATAATTTACACATAATAACACTTGAACCAATTTTTTTAAAAAAAGTTATAATTTTGTGAAGGAATATATAAAAATATTACTCCGGGGTATTATTTTTATAATATTTTAGTATATATGTTCGGTACGAGATTTTCGGTATGGGATGTCACCTCGTACCGTTCCCGAATACCGTACCGACCATTCGGTTCGGTACGGTTCGGTTCTTTCTCGGTACTTTTTCGGTTCGGTATTTTTCGGTTCGGTATTCTCGGTTTTTTCGGGAAATTTTAGTATCGGTTCGGTACTTGCTCACCCCTAGTTGACTGCAAAAAGACAAATATTCCGGGACGAAAAAAGTTAATAGCAAACTCTATGTAATTCCTTTGGAGTACAAAGTTTGCCGCAAGTTTTGTGGGGAATTCTAGAGTCACAAATAAAATAATTACAAAACTCACTAACTCACAATATACGTTTTCATTTTTAAATTCTTTAAGACTGTTTTGTTTTTTGTTCACATATAACAAAATTGTAAACTTTAATTTTGTAACATTACTATTCGTGACTAACATTTTCCCAAGTTTTTTTTGAAGAAATCTACCTGGATAGGAGTAAAAAAGTATAAAAATACTAAAATATGAGTCCTAAGTCTGTAAAGATCAAAATAGAGTATAATGACAGTATAATGTAAGAGTATGTGTTGGCTGTGTGATGGAAAAATAATGACTGTGTAATATGTGAGTGTGATGAGTCAACAGTTAGCGATCCACGGCGGCACTCAGTTGGCCGACGACGACGGATGGCAGTGTGGCGGTGGTAGGTGACAATTACAATGTGATGATATGATGAGTGTGATAGTATAACAATGACAATGCGAATTTTTATTTTAGTCTAAAAAGATGTATGATTCTTGTTTTGATATTTTTAAAATTCTTCCCTTTTTTGGGCTTGTATCATTTTCCGAAGTCAAAAGAGTATGGGCCAGGAAACGGCAAGACAAAGCATCACCTGCCCAGCCAGCCAATGCACATTAAGAGTGACACAATTGGATAAGGAAAAATAATACTCTCGTCCCTAAATATTTGCCATATTTGTATTTCTGAGGTAAAATATCAAGTTTTTTCAAATCATTTTATTTACATGTTGGTATAGAAAGAAAAAATAAAATTTACATATCAAAAAACTACATGAAATGTTTTTCGAAATAAGAGGTGTCAAGAATATTTTATTTTATCAAATAACCAATGAAAACGTAGAAATAAACAAAAGTTCCCGCGACTGCTGAAAAAGCAAACGTTGTAAATATTTTGGGACGGAGGGAATATTTCATCTGTTATATCTAAAAAAAAGTTCAAGATTTTAGAAAAAATGGTAAATTGTGCTTGTAAAATTTGTTTAAGAGGAAAAAATGTTGTGACTTGCATGTTTCTTTAATTAGACGAAAAAATAAAAGGTGAAAAAATTTATTTTGTGATAGACAAAAAAAATTAAACATCTACTATGAGGGCAAGAGAGTAGTATACCCGTTTGACATTAAGTTTACCATTTTACGTCACCATTTAAGAATTACTTTCTAATACGAGTAACAAATTTTAGTCGTAACATTTTCAAATTTAATCTGCACCATAAAAACGTTTAAAATATTAACGTTAATTATAACAGATGTTTCCAAACGAAAGTTTAACGCTATGTTTGGTTCGAGAAATGACGACAAAGGAAAAAAATTTATTATATTATTGAATTTATTACAATAGAATATATTTTCATATATATGTTTTGTAATCTATTAAAATATTGAGATGGTTGATTTTTTCACACATACATACGTACGTGCATGCAAGGTGAGCTTTGCAGGTAGGGGCCACCACCAACAAACATGAAACATTGCATAATGAAAGAGCTACACAACAAAGTGAGGGCATAATTGGGATTGAATTTAGAATCCTCATGATACAAAAAGAAATCCCTAAAATCACAAGTCAATCTTGGAAAACCCACTTTGCCCATGTTTTTCAAAAAATGTTTATAATGGCAATTAATAAACATTTTTTACCACACTCATATAAAGATTCACATGAAATAATGTATACGTTAGGTCTACCATAACATTTGGTCCTATGATACCTCCAACAATGGTTCATGAATTATGGTTCCAAACCATTTTTTTAAATTTCCCTCTCATATGTGTGGGCATTTGTGAGAAAAGAAAATAGGATTAATAACATTTTTGAAATAAAAGTAGATGAAACGAGATTGTATCGATATACACATTAAATCAAAATAGGGAAGACTTTGAGTGTTATCGAGTTTCACGAATAAGTGGAAGAGAAATTGGAGAAGAAGAGGGAAGAAAGGGAAATAGAAGTTATGGTGTTGAAGAGATACTTTTTTTACTAATTGATTCATATCTAAGTACAAACATCCCATTTTATAGAAGGTATAACAATCATAGTCCTAGTCTTAACCGTGATAGGAAACTTAATTCTGCGGGTTCAAAAAGAAAAAAAATCATTGAAAGAATGTTACAGTTTTTTTCAATAAGAAATAGTAAATGTAATAATCAAATATATTCTATCTAATTAACCAAATCATATAATCTTTTTAATTAAATTATTCAATTATTATGCTATATCACATTTTAAATTTCAAGAAAAGAATAAAGGGAGGAGTAGATGAGAAAATGTGTGTATGTTTTGGGGAGGGGTAGAGAACAAAACATTATTTTTAATCACTTTGATTTAATTCAAAATGATTTAAATCTCAGGGTGACTTAATTAACCAAAGGTTGTTGCTAAATCGTCTTTTTAAATGGTTATATCTACACCTTTCACCTAATTTTGCTAAATCCGTACCAATATCAAATTTGTATTAATGGAATAATGGGTGTGGATTTAACCAAATTAGGTGAAAAATGTGGATATAACCATTTAGAGACTGTATATAACAACACCATCATATATCTATTTAATTAAATTATTCTGCTATATCACATTTTAAATTTCAAGAAGAGAATAAAGGGAATACATAAGAGAATGTGTGTTTTGAGGAGGTGTAGGATTGGGTGGGGGGAGGGGGGGGGAGAACAAAACAGTTTTTAAATCACTTTGATTTAATTCATTCTATCTTTGTCCCAAGATGCTTGTGCAATTTTGATTTTTTATAGTCAAAATTAATAAATTGTGACCATTAATTAAATAAAATTAATATCGACAAGGTTATATTAAAACCATTTTTGGTATCATAATACGACACTCGTTCAATTGAGACTCATACGGTGTTCTGTTAGGAAATTTAATGCTTTTTACACCTCCAATAAACCCCCAATCCGGCTCTATTCAAACCCAACCCCATACACCCTTCAATTGCACCTCCAAAATTAGTTGACTTTGGTCAATTGCAAAAATAGTGATTCTGACATATCAACTTTGATGTCATCTGTGGTGAAAGTATAACACTATAACATAACCTCCATAGACACCGAACGTAGCATAATACCGAGTACAAAAAAACTAGAAACCCTCCACATTTGACACCAAGTATTTGACATATATAAACCAAAAATGACTATATATCTCTTTGCCACAGACAAAGACTGAATGTCTGTAAAACACAGAACATGACTCTAGAGAGTGATCAATACAACATCTCACATTAACAAGAACACCACAATTAGTAACATTTCTAATAGAATCTGGACTTCATTCATGCAGAAATAGAGGATGAGCAGCCAAATTCTCAGACAAAAAAAAAACCCAGGAAAATTAGGCGCCTCCAATACATACATGCAAATGCCAATTGCAGATGGGAAAGAAGCCCTAAAAAGCCTATTCACCAACCCAAAACAGAACAAGTAGTTTAGTACCTTAAAAAAGGTGAGGAGACCCTATCTATTCCTATAAACAAAGAACTAAGCCACTCTGTACAAACACTTCAAGCCAGAAGTAACCTTGTGCATATAATGAACCACTTTCTAAAGACAATGAATACCCCTACTGCAGCAGTCCCTTAGGTGTTGATGCTCATGCTTCTTGTCTGGGTTCTCTCAAGTAACCAAGAAGTATCTCAGACTGTCAAAACAAAAACCAAAAAAAAAAAAAAAACGATTAGAATTTCAGAATCAAGATTTATAGGGATCGGTGGGTACAAAATCTATACGTTAGTCAGAACTATAAATTCACAATCCCAACTTCGTTTGGGCCTGGTGGGATCAAGTTGTGTACACGTAACGAGACGTTCTCGTAAGACCCTTGATTCAAAACTACATTTACTACCCAAAACTCCATGGTAATAAGTATAAATTCATGGGAGGAAAAAGAAGAAGAAGAAGAGGAGGTAGTAGAGCCCATGTTATAAATTCAACAACTCTGAAGTGTTTTTATGATTTCATCTGCATGATTATGATTTAATGAGATGCATGAGTTGAGGTAGGCCCTTCCAATAATATAAGATGTCTTTCATTTATTCATTCATTTATTGACTCCCTATTTATTTAATTCAATATTGGAATGTCTTATTAGGAGACCACCAAAGGAGGCCAGAAATATACAGCTAGCAAGCACCCAAAGAAACAAAGAAGAGGGGGCATGCATGCATTGATACATATGATAAGTCACAATCACTGAAAGAACCACTGAAAACAACATTTATTTATTCAGTATTCAATTAAAGTTGCACAAATCATACAAAACACCACCACCATCATCATCATAACCATCATCATGAAGATCAGTCATTTGATTTTCACACTCTCAACAAACCAGATGTCTGTCTGATTGGAATAGGCCCAGATTCAGAAGCTGTGTTTCCAGATTTTAATATGTTTTTCCAGCAAAATCATTTCAATGTACAAAAATCCTAGGCTTTGGTTTACGCACACAAATTGTCTGCCTGTGGAGACAGAGACAATTGTTGTTTGTATGTGTCTGTAACACACTGGTGTACCAGTGGTGTACGCCTAGCATAACTCTTTATTTATTACTATTATTTTACGTTTACGTTTCTTAGTTTTCTCAAACAGTGAATAACCGAAAGACAGTACGTCTATCGACCCAATTAAAAGCTCAAGATAAGATGTTTTTCAGCATGAGAAGTCAACCAAACAGTCTAAGAAAGATTGCTATTCATGTTCATACTATTTTCAACTTCAAGGCACTGTTTGGCAGACAAGAAAAACATTTCTCCAAATTCCTAAGTTTCCTCTTTTCATGTGTTTGGTAGGCAAGGGGAGTTATTTTTTTTCCCCTATTGACAGTAAAAATAATACTAGCACTCCAATTTTAGGTAGGAGTGCAAATATCATTTCCCACATCATGCTCCAGAAGATTAGTTTTCCAGGTTTTGACAATGCTATGTAGTAATTAGCAATGAAATGTCAACTTTTGAACATTTACTTCAGGGAAATTTACCAGAACAAAGGAAAATGACATGGATTTTTGTTTAGTTTTTTTTAAACTGTTTCATTTTATTTTACTTTACTCTGTATTCTGTACCAGATACCAAACATGGTCTAAGAGTTTTACAGTTTGACAAGAGAGTAAAAAAAGAATGGATCAAGCAAAGCTAACCTTGTGCTTAGCTTTAGCAGTTCCGTTCTGGGACAAGGCAACAAGAGGAGGAATCCCACCTTCTCTAACCAGCAATCCCCTGTTCCTCACACTGTCCCCGCACAGTTGCAGAAGCGCCAGCACTGCAAACTCCTTCCCTTTGTCAGAGCCATCCTCTATGGCCTCCAGCAGCGCCGTAATCCCGCCTTCTCCCACTATCGCTTCTCCTCCCATTTCAGTCCCGGCCAAGCTGTTCAGCACCACCATGGCCTTCTCTGCAAGCCCACTCCCGTTCACTCCCACCAGCTCCACCAGCGGCTTCACTGCGCCTGCCATTACTGCCCTCTCCTTGTTCTGCTTCACTGAGCAGAGCTTGTAGAGCGTGGTTAGGGAGTCCTTTTTGCCGCGGTTCGATCCGTTGATCAGAAGGGAAACCAGTGGCGGGATGGCCCCAGACGCGCCGATTGACAGCTTGTTTTCGTCGACCAGCGCCAGGCTCAGCAGAGCGCAGGCGGCGTTCTGTTTGGACGTTTCGGTCCCTGTTTTCAGCGCGTAAATCAGAGATTTTATGGCGCCGGAGGAGGTGATGACGGCCTTGTTGGGCTCGTGAAGGGAGAGGTTCAGGAGGCCGGTGACGGCGTGTTCTTGAGTCCAGGGATCGGAGCACCGGAGAAGAGGTACGAGCGCGGGTATCGCGCCTGATTCTCCGATCAAGGCCCGGTTGTCGGCCCTGTTCTTGGCTAGTAGCCTCAGCTTCGCCGCCGCAGATCGCTTCACGGCCACTGACGAAGACTTCAAACCCTCGACGCACAGATTCACCGTCGGAAGGAGATCCTCCGGCGATATGTTCTCGATTATTTCAGTCGAGAACGTCTCTCTCTGCAGAAACCCTAGACATGGCTCCGGTTCGGGTTCGGGCTGGGCACTCGTGCTCGGGCTCGGGCTCGGGCTCGCAACCGGATCCGCGGTCGCCAGCCGCTGCAATTCGCCGGAAATATCGCTGCTACAAGCGGAGAAATCACTGAAGGCCTGCGAGATCTCCAAACACTCCTCTTCCAGACACGAAGACCTTTTCACGGCGGGTTCACAAGCGAGCTCCCGGAGGCGCATATCGACGACGGAGTCCGTCAGATTCTCCGACACGCTCCCCGATTCCTCAGAAGCCGAACATCCGCTCCGGTAGAAATTCGACCTGATGGTGCGCATGGAACGGCCAATAGACCGGTGGACCTTGGCGGAAGACGGCGGCGGCGGAGTGAAGTAGTAACAAGACCGCGTCTGGCTGAAGCTACTTCCGCCGGAATCGGCGTGAATCTGAGAATCCTGAAGAGAAACCATTGCAAAATCCGAAGAACCAGAGGGCACTTTCCCCAAATCGGGAATCAAATCACACCAACAAAGATTCTTCAGAACCCTAAAGGGCTGCAATTTATACAACCCAACAACATATATTCATATAATTACTGCAATAAAAAACACAGAGAGATGGGTTCAAAAAAAATTGAAACTTGGAAACAGAAAGGGATGGGCAAGCTTGAGAAGAAATGGAATAATGGTATGGTTCTCTTAGATGGGCATTGTTTATTAGGAATATATTCTCAGCTGAGCTTCAAAAAGCAGGAAGAGTAAAGTTTGAAATTCAAAAGAAACCGTGAAAATGGCGGAGTTAAATAGGAAATGAGGAAGAAACACAGAGAACGAGTGAAATGGGTGGACTTTGGTGGTGGATGGTGGATGGTGGATTTGGAGAAGCACGCCAAGATCAGCTTACGTGTCTGCGCTTTTAACGTGCAAGAGGTAAAAGTGTAAAACTCTACAAATTTTACTTAAAAGATTAACTCTGACGGTCTGACACCCCGGGTCCGTTACGAAAAAAATAATTCAATTCATTTCTTTAATTCATTTTATCTTATACGGAGTAATTTGTATATTAAAAAATTATAGAAATTATATATTAATAATCTATATGTTAAGACAAATCAAACAAGATCACACATGACTATATTTAGGCTTACACATTGAGAGAATTTGATGAGTCAAAATGCTTAAATGAACAGCTCCAAAATTTAAAAGTGGACAAATATAGCGGAACGGAGGTAGTATATATTTAGAGCATCAACAATGGCAAGGTGAAAATGGAATGTCACACGGTGACATGGAACATTTTAACCAATCAAAAATAGTTCAGTCAGCATGTGGCAAGTAAATAGAGTGGCAAGTCATTATTTTTAATCACTTTTTTACATTTTTAAATTTTTTTAAACATAAAAAAAATATTTTTATTAAAAAATTATTCTACTCTCTTGTAAATTTTTTCTCATAAATTTTTTTTTTAAAAATTATTTTAAAAAAAGAAAAAAAGTAGTATGAAGTGCCACACTCATGCCTAGGGGTGTTCATCGGTCTAAAACCGAACCGGACCGGACCAAAAACCGAACTACGCCATAACCTAGATCAAAGACCGGACCTAAATGTAGTCGGTTTTGGACCGGACCGGCCCGAAATCTTATGGACCGAACCGGTCCAGACCGAAAAGACCGAATCCAGGTCAGGCATGCCGGAATTGAAACTTTCCCCACCGGTGAAACCCTAGGTGTGGAAAATTGGGGGTTTTGCAATCCCGAACCAAATGCTGCAATTGAGGAGTCAGGGTGGGTCATAAAGATGTCAGGAAGATGCCTGGGTGGGTGCGCGACGTCGAATTTGCCGGAGGTGGCCGGAATCTGCAAATAACCCCCAGAAACCGCTGTGACGGGTCGCAACTGATTCCCAGCGATTCTGGCATCCAAATCTCACGATGCTGGTGGCGATGGGGTCGTATGGACCTCAGGAGGTGTTTGGGAGTGGTGGGGAGGCTCGTCGCTGCGTGTGGTGGCTGAAGCAGATTGGGCAGCGGCATGGACGGCGGCTGTTGCGATATGACGTTTCCCGGCAAATTTTCCGGTGATGTTTGGGTGCAATAGGACCGGCGGGATAAGGAGGAGTTTAGTGGGTGACCGGCGGACACGTCGTAGAAGATGTTGTCCAAGTCTCCAAGAAGGCTTCCTTGAAGAAGATAAGATCTGACAGGAGGAGGGTGGGAGGAAATACGGAGTTAATAATATTGTCGGTCATTTCGGTCTGGATCGAATTACAGCCGGGTATGGACCGGTCCAGACCGGAACCCGAAATTCTAAAAATTCCGGACCGAAGACCAACCCGAAATCTAATCGGTCCGGGTTCGGTCTGGACCTATCGGTTCGGTCGGGTTTTTCGGTCTGGACCTAAACATGAACAGCCCTACTCATGCCTCACCAAACAAGGCATTTTGTCCTTGCCATGCCATGATATGAGTGGAAGAAGTTGATGTGGCAGTGCAAGGCATCTTTCTTCCTTGCCATTGCACATGCTCTTAATTATTATTCCCTTCGTCTCTAAATATTTGTTACATTTACTTTTTCAGTCATCGCGGGAATTTTTGTTTATTTTAAAATATAGTTTTAAAACACCAAATTTTTATAATATTTAATTAATTTAAACTATATTTAATTCGTGATAAAAAGGTACCATAATTTGACCCAAAAAATTCAAACTGTGATAATCTTTAAGGGACGAATGAAGTACTTCCTACCGTCCGCCCGAATAGTTAGATCTCTTTAATTTTTATAAAGTTCAATACATATTACCAATTTTGTACTTCTATTAAGGTTCACGAAATGATTATGAAAAGACCATAAAAGAACTTCCCTTCGAGTTTCATTTATTCCTTTTCAAGTGCTCACTTTGTTCAAATATTGAATATTCTTCTCATGCACTATTTATATCATCAAAATTTATTCAAATGATTTGATTATTTTCACTCATTTGATTATTAAATATACTCATGTCATATCTTACTTCATAAAACTTTTTATGTAGTTGTTACACGCGTGCCCAAGAGTTTTCAAAGATGGGTTCATCATTTTCTATTAAAAAATAAGTTGGGCATAGCTCAAGTAGTCTGAAGTGGAAACAATAGTTTCGATTAGCATTAGTATTTTGAATAAAATTTTAACGGTATAAATTATTTTTGAAAATGCTAATGCTAAAAGATGTCGTCAGACAATCTTTTCAAAATGCTAATGCTAATCTCTAATATTGATGCCAAATAAGGCCTAAATGGAATGCAAAAAATACGTTTAGAGCTTGAAATGTTCTATAATGGTCAAAAGATTCACGTGTAAAATGTGAATTTTCTTACATATTATTCCGGTAGAATTTATTGGATACATTATATTTTAAGTATAAATAAACTTAAATATGTTACTCCGTAATATTTTGAGTGAATGTAAACTAAGAAATCATAAAAGATAGTCTTTGTGAAATATACCCATATGTAATTTATTTTTTAAAACCTTGATTGCTAATGAGTACTGAGTTTTCTTAACTTACGAGTGGCAATGGGGCTCTAAATGACATCAATGGGTACAAGTTCTTGGCCCAATTTAAGATTTGATTGCATTGCACACATGCACGTGTGGTCTTTAATACTCCGTAATGCAATGAATAATACGGAGTAATTGGTGACCAAAATAATGTTCCATGCTTTCTTCTCCGACGAGAAGGTACAAAATAAACCAACATTTATTAAATATTTCATTTGTCTTAGAATATTTATTTAGTGTTGATTTTTTATAATTAATTAAAATCAAATTTTGATCCACAATTACATAAAAATTATATAATATACTAATTAAATAAAATAAAAGTATTTTACAAGATAAATCTAATAAATTTAATTTTGTATAAATTTTTAATATTAATTTTATTTAATTAATAAAATACCAAACATTTTTTTCGAATATGACTACAAGCTATTGTGCCTAGTGCCCACATCCTAGCTAGTAGCTAGTATCCATATCGACTTATTATTCCATCCAACCATTACAAGTCAACAACAAATTATAAAGTTCCTTCTAAAATGATCTTCCCAATGAATATCATATGATCAAATTTTAAGAAAAAACACAAAATTAAAAATAAAACATTGAAAATATACTACAAAAGGACTCCGATAATTTCCCCCCAAAATAGGAGTTAAAATATAATTACATTACCAACCATGGTCATGTACATTACCAAAAAGTATAGTAATGGTACATGTGCAGTGCCGCATTACCACAGTGCAAAGTCATGTTTCGAGAATAAAAACATGAAATTCTTATTTTGGTACTTTTTTCTATATTTTAGTATTATTTAGGGTGATTTTGTATAAATTTTAACCACTTTCTTTACTTCTTTTCGTTAGTTATTTAATAAAGTAACATAATCATGTCACCTCTTGCATGTTCCGTAAATTTTTTGATGTAGTTTTTAAATATATATACTCCCTGCTTCCTCCGCTCTTGAAAATACTTCCATCCTAGTTTTTTATGCACTCCATAAAATACTTTTGCTCTACCTAAAATAGGGGTGCATGCAAATCAAATAAAATGTATTCGATTCGTGATTCGTATTCGAAAAGGCTGACTCGTATTCGCTATATTCGAATTCAAATCCGATTACAAATCATACTTTAGATTCGAATTATTTTCGAATTTGAATATAAATATTAATAGACTCGATTTGTTTATTATTCGAGTTATTTGAATATTATAATTTATAAATAAATTTATATATATTCTAATATATTAAATATTTTTGTACATATTTTAATATATTAAATTTTTTGTACATATAAATTTATATATATTCGAATACTATAATTTATAAATAAATTTATATATATATTCTAACATATTTTTACTACACTTTACATTATTATAAAATAATAATTTAATGTCTTTAAGAAATATATTTTAAGAAAACAATTACTAATATTTTCGAATTCGAATATTCGAATACGTATTCAAATACGTCAAATATCTATCAAATAGAATACGAATATTTTTTAAAATTTGAATTATATATGAATTTGAATTCAAATACATATCACTTTAATCGAATACGAATCGAACAGTGATATATTTGCTTCAATTTGTATACACCCCTAACCTAAAATGTCGAAAATACCTTCACAACAACTTCTACCCGTAGTAAACTATATAATGAAATGTGTTTCAGACATTTTAGGTGGAAGTAAAAGTACTTTATGGGGTGCGTAGAAAATTATTAGGGCGAAAGTATTTTCAAGAAAGGGGGGAGTTTTTTTTATTTTTTAATTTTACACCTATAATCAAATAAATTGAAATACAAATAAATTCAATCAAACATCGTAAACCAAACTGAAAAGATCATTTCAGGACGAAGTGGGTAATATAATGTCTTTCATATATATAGGCTGGTTCGTGTAAGAATGGACGACCTTGTTAAAAAAAAAATGTTGCATTTTTGTTCGCTATGGTGCATTCTACAAAGTAGGCAATGCATTTTACAAAACAGGCAATGATGAGAACAAGCTCTAAAAGTACTTAATTCTAAAAGAACACTATAGTTCGCTATTCGAAAATTACAAATTTTTTTATTTATTTTTTACTTTCTTTGATTATTAAATAAAATAAAATATTCTTGTTAGTTCTTATTTTGAAGAGTTTTTGGCTTAGTCTTTCAATATGTAAATTTTTTAATTTTTATATTAATATTCAAATAAAATGAATTGACAAAACGTAAAACTTCGCTACATTTTATGTAGGCTATTGATATTGGCACTCCAAAAATTACTAGTTGCACTCCATTTCCTTCTTATATTACATTATTTCCCCAAAGTGCCCCTCACCACTACATTTTTGGCAAATGAT